CTTGCTCATTGTGATTTTTTTCACCGTAAAACTCTCCCACCCAGTTCAATTCCCATTTGAGTATGTGAAACCAAAATGAAAGAGTTATCCTTAAGAGAATTGTTAGAAAGTCAAAAAATTAATATAGAGGAGGCAATGGGAAAGAAAGAACGATAATGTTTTTTTTCGTATCATTGTTTATTCAAAAATATTCTACTTATTTTTAATCTTGCCAGATAAAATATCTAGCGTCTATTTTTGGTCTACGGCAAAATATCCATGTCTATTTTTAAGCCTAGAAATCTCCCGCTTAAAATCTCGGTTCGCAATTCTCTTTATTTTTTTCAGTGGTAAAAATCACCCCTCCGCCCAAACAAATATTATCACAGTAAAAAACCGCATACTGCCCGGGGGTAATGGCTCTTTGTTTTTCAGAAAATTCCACTTTTAACTCTCGAAAATCGACCAATGAAATAATTTTGACCGCAATTTCCGGTTGGCGATAACGAAATTTAGCCGTTATTTTTTGACTATTCAGACACTTTTTTAATTTTTCCTCTCTAATCAACCAATTAATATTTTTTACCACACATCAATTGCTATACAACCATTCGCTATCCCAGCCACCTGCTACATAGAGCACATTTTTTTCAGGGTTTTTCCCCACTACGTAATGAGGCCTTTTTTGCCCCGGCAGCCCTAAATTGCGTCGTTGTCCGATAGTAAAGTAAGGAGTTCCGTAATGCTGGCCAATGCTCTCTTGGCTGTCAACATTGATTATTTTTCCCTCTTTCTTTGGGAAGTAATTAGTCAAAAAACTTTCAAATTTTCGTTCTCCAATAAAACAGATGCCAGTTGAGTCTTTTTTTTGGGCGTTAATTAATCCAGTTCCTTTGGCAATTTGGCGGACTTCATTTTTAGTCAAATCGGCTAGGGGAAAAATTATTTTGCCTAGTAAATCGCGGTCAATTTGGCACAGAAAATAGGTTTGATCTTTGTTTTTGTCTTGGGGTTTGCTTAAATAATAATCTCCGTTTTCCCGAACTATTTTAGCATAATGACCAGTAGCAATAAAATCGGCCGCAAAATTTTTTTTCACATATTCCACAAAATAATGAAATTTAATTGTGCTATTACACAAAATATCAGGATTGGGGGTTAAGCCTTTTTTTAATTCTCGGAGGAAATTAGCGAACACTTCGTCTCAATACTCATGAATGAAATCTACTTTGTAAAGCGGAATTTCTAATTGTTGAGCAATGGCTTGGGCGTCATTTCAGTCTTGAGCTTGCGAACAAATATTAGTCTCTTGCCCGCCCAGATAATCATCCCAATTTTGCATAAAAATAGCCTTTATTCTGTAGCCTTGTTTTTTTAAAAGAAGAGCTGCCACGGCTGAGTCCACACCCCCACTGAGAGCCACAATAACTTCTTTACTCATTTATAAAATTACTATATAATCTTAGGTGATTATATACAATTTTAAACTATTTCCCTCCTTTCCTCTTTTTCCTAGGTGGAGAATTTAACAAGGCTTTTATCACTTTGTCAAACTCCTCTTGGCTTACTGGTCTAATATCATTATCCTTTTGCTTTTTAGTTGTTTTTCTTGTCATATAAATAGTTTTAATAATTATCTGACAAATACCCTACAATTACCTAATCATAATATAATCAAAGTATAATTGTAAGATAATTGGGTGAAGTAATTGTATAAAATATAATATATTCATGTTAATAGATTTGTTTGCCTCATTATTTATATCAGGGATGTTTCCTGGTGGTGTTGCTGTTTGAGTGTTTTATGCTTTTTGAATTCTTATTTTTGGTTATTGAATATATAGCGTGGTTAGATTAAGTAAAAATAAAAGTAAAGGTGGAATGTGAGCGATTTTAGGAGTTGGTTTACTCATTTCTTTCTTTTTTGCTTGTATCGCCAGTATGTTTATTAGTAGTGATAAAAAAGATGATACAGAGAGAGAGAGAGAGAGAGAGAGAGAG